ACTGTAGTAATTCAATCCTAGAGCAGATCAGACCAGATGTATGCCTATAGGTGTGTGGCTAGCCCTACTGCTAATTCACAGATTACACAAGATTACAGCAGATGACATTTTTTTTTATTAGAGAAGAATTAAAATAAGTGAGAATTCAGGACTGAAGCACCTCACTGGTACAGGCTGGAAATATATTCAGAATGTGGTAGGTCTCCAACACCTAACACTGTTAATGTCTGAAGGATTCTGTCTGGACACAAAGGGACGAAGCCATTAAAAAAATCCTGAAACAAAAGGACATGAAGGCAATCCAGCAATTTCTAGGAAAAGTAACTGTTTTTCAAAAAATTTCTGAGTACATTAACTAGAAGTTTATGAACCCTTAAGAAAATTAACACTCTATGAAACATTTCCCTCCCATACATACGGGAAATGCTATGTATTTGTCACTAACCACCAACTTCAATAGCAGCTTAGCTGAACAAACAAAGAAAACATTCATTACATTCACTGTAAAAAGTTGCAGGCACTTTGGGACCAAGAGAGAATTCAAAATAATCTGAACAAAATGGTGATACATTTTGTGAAAGTTTAGTAAAAATTACAAAATCCAATATTTAAGAATACTACATAACCACTAGACAGTGAATTGGCTGGACAGCAGATTTACACTGGAGGTTGTGGAGTTTGAGAGGTTTTAGGATCTGGACACAAATCTGTAGTGTCAAACTTCAGAGAAAAAAAAAAGACTGTAATGAGCCATGCAAACATTACTCATTAGTGCTAAAAAAGCAGCTTCATCTGAAAGACTGAATACAATGTGGGCAGTACACTTCAAGAAATGTGGACAATCAGAACAAGGCAGAGAAAAGCAAATAATTATGATATATCAGAAAACATAAACCATAAAGGAAAAAGGAAAGAATATGGGGAGACAAGAGAAGAAAATTCAAATATAGTAAAAAGCTGCTGCAAAGGGGTATGTCATAAACTGACTTTCATAGCTGCTGGGAACAGGATAGGAAACGGTGGGTTTAAATTGTAAGAATATTTTTCTTAGAGATGATGAAAAACTTTCTACTGCTAAGAATGAAGCATTGGAACAGATTGTTTAGGGAGATTGTGCAGCATCTACCATAGGAGTGTTTAAAGAGATGATCCAATAAACATGCCAGACCTGGTTCAGTTATAGCTGCAACTTGAGTCAAGGATGGACTACAACTTCTTAAGGACCCATCTAGTCCAGCTAATCTACTGCAGGTATTCATCTGTAGCATCTACTATTTCATGATATGAGGAAAAATGACAGAACCCGCAGGCTCATCTTTGAAAGAGTAAGAAAAATCATAGCCCTGACATACAACAGCCTTCCATGATAGCTAAGGTTAAAAAAAATTTAAAAAGACTTAGTGGCTATGCTTTCTGAATCAGCCTTCTTTTCAGTCATCTCTCAGAGTACAAGATGAACATACTGCCTGATCAACAGCCATCAAAAAAAAAAATAAATCATCAACTACTGCCAAGGCACTCAAGCAACACATAGGTTATGGAGATTCCAACAAGCTGATCTGAGTATAAGACAGCGCTGCCAAAGTGGGAGACTGTCAGCATGCTCCAACACATTTGCATGTAAGATAGGAAGCTTTGATAACCAAAGCAAATTTCAACAAGGATTATATGCTACAGAGAAATATCTTGTGTTTCAGAGGTATCCAGACTGCAGTGAAGCAATTAGATGCTGGAGTCCCAGAGGACAGATGAAATGCATATTGTATAAATTGTTTTTAAATGGGATTAGCCAAAAATCCTAGCAGATTTAAGAAGTGATGTAGTAGGATGTATCTATGCTTCAATGCCAGGCAAGCATAAAGACATCTCTGCTAGCCAGCTATCAAACTCTTTATTTACACGTATGCACGATAACAGTTCAGCAGTTAAGAAGAGCTCAGGGATCAACAAGGGACAGAACCTACCAAAATCTTGGCCCACACATGGTAAAGTCAGAACAAGCCTGCTGATTTTTAATAAGGGTAACTGTAGGGCTTTCAGGAAGTTCCCACTGCTGAGAAGCAGGCTAGAAGGACATCTACCATGAGAAGGAAACAGAAGAGGGATTTTGTATTACTATTGTGAGTAAAAGACCATATCAAAATCCAAATGATTCAGTGTTAAAGGAGGGTGTGAGCTACAAATGTCTCATGCTGGCCACCCCCCAAAGGCATTGGAAGTCTTTATCCATTTTATTAATGGATAAAGATACATCAAGAGGATGGCTCTCAGCAGTGCCACTCCTTAAAAAACACTCCTCCAGCAAAGGAGGAGGGTCCAGCAAAGATTGAACTGATAAGTTTGATAAAGATTCATGGTTTCTCTTCCCATAATAGGTATTTTTCTATAGCCCAACAGAAAAAAGGCAGGTGTGAGGACATCAAACTAGGCATGTAATTATAAGCAAGAAGCCAATGACTGGAGGCCCTTGGGTATGAATTCACAGTTCTTCTATCAATCACAGAAACAGATGCAAAAGTATCATCTTCAGTACATGATAGGTCATAGGAAGTAGACCAGAGAGGAACTTAAAATAATCATGAAGCAGCTGCAAACAGCCAGAGGAAAAGTGCCAGGACTCAAAGACAGCCTTAGCAATCTTCTCACCTGCTACAGAAGACTTAAAAAATAAGATAGGACAAAGGAATAAGGATAGGACAACACAAAGGACTACAGAATCAAATGAAGACCTCTATACCAATGGCAGCAACATAAAGAAGAAATGGGAAACCAGGACAACTAGTGGATGACAATGATCTGGCAGGAAAAGCCTTGGTCCTATGGATAAGCATGTAGTACTTCACAGCTGGTCTTTAAACTTAGTCATCAGCACAAAGGACAAAAGACCATAAATGGCTATAACAAAACATCTAGAAGCTGCATAGACATGGAGAGAAAGATCCAGGTTTGGAGAAAACATCATGGCAGCCATTCTCCATGATAAAGTGCTAGTGATGATTGTGGCACCTCTGTAAACAAGTCTTCATCCACCTTGCTTCAGAAATATGGAAACAAAAGCCTATCTGGACTCTGGCCACATTAACACCAAATATGGACACATGGAGGACGAAGATTACAACTTGGTGATTACTAAAACCTAGGTGTTTCATGAAGTTTAAGAGAAAATTAGGTTAGTAAAAAATAATACAATTTTCCAGTTTGCAAGTACAATTCTATCTTTCATACCAAATATTTAATCATGTTAATAGTTTCAACGTTAAGATTTTTCCCTGGACAATTCAAAAGGTTGAGTCAGAGTTTGCTGTCCCAAGTACGGTCAAACAGACTGTTCGTATCTCCTTCCTGACTGGATTAACTCTTACACTGAGCTGTTCAAGATTAAAAAATACATTAAGACTTGCCTTGTTGGTGAACATGCCTGAAATTCCAATGTAAGGACTATGGCAGACAAACCAAGCCAAGACTTAAAATGTAAGTACAATTTAAGTTGGTTTTAAATCTTTTTAATACATATCTGCACAGGCAGTGTTTTAAATTCTAGGCTGCTCAAACTGTCATTCAAGACAATTAATCACTGTAACAATGACGAACTCTTATTTTGCAGGGTTCACTTACAGAACCCATTCTTTCAAGAATTAGGAAACCATCCAGCTGATATGAATAAATAACATAAAAGGAGAAGCTTCCCTCAAGCTCAGAGAACAGCTGCAGCATTTTTCCATCTGCCTTTCCCTGCAGCTCTGCGCCCTAAGCCACACTGCCTCAGTAAAAAACTAACAACAGAAATGATAAACTGTTAATAGGCAGCCTAAAACCAAGGTCATACTAATCCTTTGAAAATCTTATTCAAGGTTTTATAGAAATTTATTTGAAAATACTTTATTTTGTAGTTTGAAAAGATGATAAAAAATAGCCTTAAATGAAACAATGCCATTTAATGTTAATTTGTTGAGGGGGACATTGCACAGGGAGGTGTTTAGCAGGTCTTGTTAAGCACTGCTCTTCATCTGGTACTTTTTCTCCTCCTCTTAACTGTCCACATTCTACATTCCTTCATTCTACATATTACAGATGCAAATGTAAATTAAGCATTGATTTGCTATTCTACACAAGTACGTACTAAAATATTTTTACAAGGGACAAAGACAACACTAAAAGACTAAACTGAGTGAAAGCAGTGAAAATATTTTGTTGTGGTAACGTTACAGCAATGCTCACTACACGTTCTGAAGCCAGGCTTACTTTTCCCTAAAGTATAAAAATGATTAACTGAGAAAGATAAATAAGCTTGGAGAAGGAAATCATATGATAAAATAGTGATGCGGAACAGTGCTTAAAAAAAAATAATCTAAACTCTGCTGATTATCAGGACCACACACTTGAGGTTAGGAAGGCGATTAAGTGCTTTGCTAAATATAGCCTTAAAACATGCCTTCAGAATCTATTCATAATTAAGAATGCTTGATTGTTTAGGATGTCTATTACTCTCTAATCTTAGTGGAAATGCAGATTTCCTGCTATATTACATATTATTATAATCACAATACTTAGCATATTATGTATTATTACAATCACAATATAAATGCCTAGAACTAACCTAGGTTGTGTTCTCCTTCCCTAAAGGACATTAGTTTTAAATCTGTCCTTCGCTTTATGACATTAAGAATTGCAATTTTGTGTTAAACAATGAAAACTGTCAATATTTAAGCCACAACTTTATAAAAGATAGTATCAGTCTTCAGACAGTGTAAGGCAGAATATATGTAATTTGGGCATACAACAAAGTCACAAGATACAAAGATCTGATAATAAATACACAGCTCTGCTCTATCCTAACACTTATGAATACAATACTATGAGATACTACATATACTTAACAGGAACACCATTAAAAAAGAATAGACAAGTTTTCTAAAATTCACACAAAGTGTGAACTTCGTTATACTTGAAACAAAGGGGGCAATTTGTGAAATCTTAACTAGAAAAAAATAAAAAGGAGGCTCAGAAACTGTATTATTTTATTTATGTACTTAAAATCATTGAACACTCATGACAAAGCATTTGTAAAGTTGGCAGTAATTGAAAATTTGGCAATATAATTAATTCACTGGAGTTGTATTTATAATTAACTATTTTTCACTTAAAACACAAAGCTAAAAACAGACAGAGCGCGCTGTTTTTGCACAATATAATTAATTCCTTATTACAAAATTCAGATGTGGGATTACAATCCAGTGTAATGCAACAATCCCTTTTTACGCTGTATGTCAGGAGCACCACGCCCCAGCACGGGCTATGGCTTTTAACACAGCGCCCTTACCCTTGTGCCTCTGCCAACACACTGTGGTTGCTGTCATGTATGTGCCCTGTAACGCACCCTGGACGGGTGCACACCAGCACGCACTATCCCCCCCACTCCTCACAGCAGGAAAAGGGAGGTGGGACCCCTAGTCAACAGACAAGGTCCTCAGCCAGTGAAATGCCCTGGTTGAGAGAATTTTCTACAACGCTGACCATATATCACCACAGCTCAGATTTGACCAGGCTACAAAACCCCCTTCGAGTGGTTCTCCTCAGAGCAGCGAGTCTGTGATCAGAAGCCCTCCCCTTGGGATTGGGATGCCACCCAACAAAACTTCCCTCCCCTCCCCTCTTGGTGAGTTGAATACTTCTTCTGGGTATCCTTGAATAAGCCCTCGCCCCCTTGGGCGAGCGATCACACAGAATCATCTAGGCTGGAAAAGACCTTGAAGACAATCTTCTGGGTACCCTTGGGTGAGAGGCTTCTCTTTCAGTGAGTGTGTGCACACTTTGAGTCATCATTTCTTATGGGCCATCATTCTTCTGTGTCATTGTGTAATAATAAGTTCCCCAAGTGGTACACCGAACCTATGGTTTGTTAAATGTCATTGGAGCATTGTTTTGGTCAGCCCCATCATCTTTTTGGTTTCAGATGTTTGGATTTGGTTACAAATTAAAGTTTGTTCACCTTTATCATTTGTGTGAAGCTGCTTTGGTATGCCTCCATAAAACACGGCAATAAGTTTTACAAACTGAAGTAATTTTTGCTTTCAGATTTTGATTCACTACCAAAAATAAAGAAATAAATGCTGCACTTTTATTTCAAATGCTCTAAAATTACCCTTTAAAACAAATTTTTTAAATTTTACGTTTTTTCCACTCTGGCTTGTCTGTTTCATCATCTTCTGGTTCCACTTCTGCAAAAACTGTTTTCGGCTGTGTTCTAGAAAACATTAAAAAGATTAAAGTCATGCTCAGACAACAATTTTTTTGTCAGAAACTATATTAGACATGCACTAGACACACATGACATCCTTTCCATATGTAAAAAAGCAGCATCCTAGACTTGACAATTTTTTCATTTTCAATACAAACATATCAACTAACTTTCTAAGAACTGAAGAAACTTGAAGCTCTCAAGCAAAGAACAAGCATAACAAACACACATCTTTTGCAAGTCTTATTTCCTCATCAGCTTGCAATCATTATCTATGTATTCCATGAATAAAATTAAGATAGAAGGGAAGAACAAATCAATTTAATACAATGCTAGAAAAATGGGGCCACAAGTCCTCTCATTCCATTATTTTAAAAAAAGAAACCTCCATTTTGTTACACTGTAGTATGACAGCAGCCAGTAAGTGAAAACAGAACAGCTAAGCCAGGTTTCTGGATTAGCCTATGCATAAAAAAAACAGTCTCTCCTCCAGAGACTTTATCTAGTGCTACCATAACATTAAAAACCTCATGATCTTCATATGAGAACAGAGTGTATCCTGCAGTCAAGCTTGATAGTATCTATTCCTCCACTGTTTACTTGTATTTTAAATAACACTTAAACTTTATAAAAATAATTATTGATTACTTTTTAAACGAACACAGTATCAAGTAGCATTTCAATAGACTGTTTGTACATTCAGTTCCCCTGTTTTACACTTTAATCACTGCATGGTCCCCTTTTCCAACCTAATTCTCAGCACAATCACTGTGGAGCTTGAAACTACCAGGTTTCTGATGCTGGCTGCGCTCAACTTCTGATTACAACAGACACAACAAAGTATAAAATGCAGCCAAGGCAGTAATCATCTCAATAACATATTAACTAATGTTTTTACAGAAGTCTAAGGATGTGAAGCACTATTATTACAACAACTGTTACTTGGCAAACTCTACAAAATGTGTAAACCTTAACAAAATTGTGTCTGCCTTACCTAACACAATAGGCATAATTCAGTGTTGACAAGTAATAGCAATTATTAACAAGCAATAGCAATTAGACAAGCATTGTTGAAAAGTAATAGCAAGCCATCAGCTATTAAAGAGCAGGATTGTTCACTTGTTAAATATGTGGCACAAAATAGCTTTAAAGTCACCAAAACTAGTCAAAGACAACTTCCCTTAGCTATAGGATCTTTCTAGTACCTGCCTTCTCCTCCACCCTCCAAATTTGCCATGGAGATAAGGAGTATATGGAAGATGTTCCAGACCTACACTACTGGAAGTTAGATGAGTCATTCTGTTCTCCGTGGAACAAGGAGCTAAGATTAAAAAAAAAATTCCACTTTAAAAAATTTGAAAATAGTTACATAAACTCTACTCACCCAATCATTAAAGGAGGATTGGAAAAAAATTTTTTAAAAAATCACCATTCAATCCAAAATGGACACCAGGACTGAAGGCTTTATTGGTCAAAATACTGGATTTTGTTAGCTGTTGAAAAGGTGGAATTTTTGGAACCTTTTTTTCAAAACATACTGATGGAAGTTTATTTAGCCCATTTTAACAGCATACCTTCCTTTTATCACAATAGATGCAAGACATCTAGATGCCACATAGGATCACATTAGGTTAGTACTGAGATGCTTGTTAATAAAGTGCAATGAAATCCAGTGTAAACCTGTCATTTGTGACCACAAAACCTTCAACTGTCATAATTGTGGTTAGAAACATCCAACCAAGAAGAATTTATGAAACAAGCAGCAGAATCTATTTCCAGGATAGGAATGGCACAAAGTTACAGACAGCTAATGGAAGTACACTACTGAGTCCAGTAAAGCTAGGGGTGGAGGGAGACGATAAAAGAAACTATCATAATCTAGCAGTAACCAGCTAAAGCAAAAACGTACAGGGGAAATCAGGTCTGCTTGCTATCTTGGTTTTTAAAATTACCATGAAATGGCTGTAGCCTCAGCTCAGCTGAAATGTAAACTGTTCCACCTCCGCAAGCTACACAGCAGTAACTGGGGCACCTAGGGTGATTCATATGCCTGACCATTTTAAAGACATAAGCATAGAAAACATTGTTCCTGTTATAGCATTATCAACAGTGATAGTTTAATTTAAACGCAAATTGTTCTGCTTAACTGCATTAGAGATCGCTAGTGTAGTAGGAGTTTGCTGCGTGCTTAATATTTATTAAAAAAATCAAAACAGGTTTGCTACCTCTAAGTATTTTTATTTCTGAGGGCTAAATAATACATGTGGGAAACTGTATCATTCTTCTCCATCAACTTTCTCGATTTTATTTATCCTTGACTTTTGGGGTTGATTTCAGTTTGTTAGGGATCTTCTTGGCAGGTCTCATGGGAGACTACCATGGAGGGCAAAGGGACCCAGAAGAGCTGGCTGATCTTTGAAGATAATCTCCTCAAAACACATTCCACCCCATGAACAGAAAGTGAAGCCTAACAGAATCCTACTATGGATGCACAGGGATCTCCTGACAGAGAGAAACCCCAAACAGGAAGAACAGAGACAGGAAGCAGGGAGAGCCTTAGCCAAAAGGAACAGAAGTATAATGTGAACATGTAGAAACGGAGTCAGGAAAGCCAAAGCTCAGCTGGAGTTGAAACTGCAAAGAAACGTGAAAAGCAACAAAAACAGTAAGGGCTTCTACAGCTAGACTGACAACCAAAGGAATGCTAAGGAAAATGTGCTCAATGGGGCAGGTAAGCCACTAACATAGGGTACAGAAAAGGTCAAGGTATTTGATACTTTTTTTTCCTGTTTTCCCTGAGAAGGTCTGTCCTCAGGTTTCCAAGGACCCCTGAGGGAGTAAGACATTACCAACAGAAGAGGAAGACAGAGACAGGGAGTTATGTGGCTCACTGGACATACACAAATCCATGAGATCAGATGAGATGGACCCAAAGGTACTGAGGGTGCTGGCCAGTGCCACTGCAAGGCCAATCAAATCTTTCAGAGGTCATAGTGCCTGGAAGAGGTTCTTGATGACTAGAAAAGGCAATCATCATCCCTATGAAGGGTAAATGGAGGACTGGGGGAACTACAGGGTTGTATACCTAACCTCAGTCCCTGGGAAAGCTATGGATCAAATCCATATAGAAGGCATTTCTAGGCACTTGGCAGACAAGAAGGTGACAGGGAACAGCCAGCACGGATTTAACAAGGGCATACCATGCCTGCCAACCAGACTGCTGGAACAGGCTGCCCAGAGGTATTGTGGAATCTCCATCCTTGAGGATATTCAAATGTGACTAGGCAAGTCCCTGAACAACATGAATCTAATTAGACCTGAGCAACCTGATCTAAGTGAACATGCTTTAAGCAGGAGGTTGGACTAGACAACCTCCAAAGGTCCCTTCCTACCTAAATTATTCTATGATCTTCTGCTTCCACATGACTGACTGAGCTGAAACCAGTATCTCATACTCTCGCAAATGCATTCTTACTGTGGGTTACACTAACAGGCTGCAAACAAGAACCGGAAAACAAACTAACATAATTTATTCACTCTGCATGCTTCTCTATTTCAGTGGTTTTCAACATATTTAGGTATGCAGACCCCCTAAAAAATTTCCAGAGGCCATGCAGACTGCTTTAGAGCCACCATAATCCCTCTGGTTATGGGTTGTTTTTCTTAATTACCTTTCATGGATCCAATAAAAGAAGCTCATGGATATGTGAGGTTCACAGACTAGCAGCTAAAAAAATACTGCTACAGCTAACCAGCTGGAGATAACAATTGCATATCACAGCATCTGACTCATGTTGCAATTACTTTTGAAATTTGTGTTTATATTGCACTGAAACAAATTAAAAGAGACTTTCAAGCATGCCTGGAAACCAGAATAATGTAATAAAGGCTATTTCCAGACTGAAAAGTGAAGGTTTTCACCATTGGGCTCTTTTGTATTCCTTATCACACCAACCAGTCTAACTCTTCTCTGAATCTCAGGGGCTTCCCTCTCAAAATTGCCTATTTCCAAAAAGAAGATTTAGCTTAAAAATAGCAACATGTGACAATAAAATCACTGTTACAAAACATTCTGTTCAGTCCTTCTTCAACTGAAGATATTTGAGCCACTTCACATACTGGTACCACCACTGAAAAAAAGTTCTGTGATACAGCACAGCTACAGGCTTCAAGTCACTGCCTTTTGCCTGTGATAAGCAGCAAAACAGGGGCAACATCACTGAACTGAAAGGTGCTTTTTGAGAACTCTGGTTTATCTTGGTAGGGAGGGAAATTTCACCCTCATCTTTTCTTCTGGGAGAGAAGAGAGTTACATGTGGGCCTGATTAGGTCCTCAACTACAATGCTTAGTAATTCCTGATGATTCTTCAGAAGGACATGAAGTCATTATAGTATCTCTGTACAGCTGTGTTAAAACAAACAGCTCACAAAGAATGTAATTTTCAAACATTTACAACTGATGCCTCAAGTTCCTTTCCTGTAGTTCTTTACTTGAAATCTTCAATCTGTCCTGCTTTTCCCTTCACTCCACTGGAATGGCTGTTGCCAAGGTCTCCAACAAGCTTTTTCCTGAAAAATCTCATGATCTTTTCTTTCCTCATTCATTAAGATTTTTCTACTGTGTTGATCACATTTTTTGACACTTTATTCACACTGAGCTTCTGCGCAATGTCATCCCTGATTCAGGATGTACATCTTATCATCACCAGTATCCTTTTTCACTGATCTTTTCACCTCTTACGTACTTTCTCCTCCTTTTCTGGCTCAAATTTTAGGAGAAACAGAAAGGTCAGTCTAACGATAACAAGATTGAAAAAATTTTCGAGTGATAAATAATGCAAATGACTATTTGGCTTCAAGAATAAATTAGTCACCTTTAACTCCAACAAAAAGGAAATATTTTTACATATAATGTATAAACTAACAGCAAAAGTCATGTTGCAGGTATTTCTAACAAAAATTACTGAAGTGAAACTACAATTTAAAAAGTATGAAGTCAGTTATCTGATTTAGAATGACCATATCAGTATGGATCAGGATCAGATGAACCCTTAATCCAGTCATCAAAGAGTTATGAAAACTCTACTCAATGAGAAAAAGAGCATTTCTTAGTCTTCTCACTCCAAAATTCTTTTAAAAACATCACTGAAGAAAATTAAGTAACTGTAGTTTTCTTAGACTTTTTCTTAAGAAGGAGAATGAAAAACCTCTAAGTGAATAATCACCCCGTTAGACAACAAAATCCTTGTCAAACAAGAGATATATTAAGTGGATAGTTTTATACCATATTAAGTGAAAACTCAGCACAAGAAATGTGGAAGAACTGACAGCAGAGAAATAAAGTAGTAAAAAGAATAAACACTATTTAAAAAAATTAAATATACTGGATGTATGTTTTCTAGGTGTCAAGACAGTATGTAATTTTAAGTATGTATCAGAATATCACCTTTAGTAACTCTATAGTATATCTTATGCTATAGCTAAAGAACCAGTTTCGCTAGGTATGTATATATACTGCTCATTATTATGAACTACTCTGATTTTACCAGGGCCACCAGAGACACTCTTACAATCCAATATTATTTGTACTTTGCATATTTTATTAAATATGCATCCATAAGTACACCTGTAAGATGTATGTTTACCCTGTACATAAAGCATGTCTTGTAAAGTCAGATATAGGATATAATTAACACAGCTTTCTACATTATCTGTCTGCAGGCAAGCAGCTAACAAAACCTATAACTGCCATTGGTCCTCAGCTGTTAATCCAGACCTTCATTTCTGAAAATAAAGAACATTACACAATTATAAAGTTTTTGCATCCCAATGTCTTAAATAATAACAACAACAACAATAGTAATAATAATAATACTCTTTGCATAGAGTATGTCTGAAAGACAAGCTTTTAAGGCAAGGATAACGGCAGTTTCAGTGGCATGAGTACTACCAGCTGACAAAACCATCAAGGCAGCATGCTGCTGGCTGCAGTCCAACTCTCCACATACATATCACCGTCTGGTGTGTAAGTTAATAGCAGTCTGGACTTGCATCCTCCCCACTTCTCAGCCAGCTCTCTTCTTCCCCTGCAGCTACATCTTTACGAAGGCACTGTAATAAGATCTGCCCACCTGACACAGTAAGCCTGCTGTAATACAGCTATGTTTTAAAACTTTCATGTCTACTACATTGTAGGTGTCAAGGATGAAATTTAATATACAATCAATGAAGTTACTGAGCCAAAAATATACTGAGGTATCTATCTACCTGACGGAATGTGTGATTGCATTTACTTTTGAGAATGGATAGTTGCATATCTGAAATAAAAACCAGGTGCCTGCATTCGAAGTAAACTTCACCTCTGACAAACATAAGCTCCCAAACAATGAAAAATCAGTATTTAGTATATTCATTACAACTGTTACAGAATCAGAATGTCAAATATTCCTTCTTTGGTATCAAGGGTGATCCTGTATAATGCACTGGTTTGATGTACAACACCAAATGCCATACTCATGAATTACCAGTATGCTATACTTATTAGTTACCCAGTCAAAGCCAGGCTGGGTCACTGACCTTCTCAAGATGCTTTGGAACAGCTATTCAGTTATCTTTTGCGAACATGTGGGTCAAGTCAGAAAACAAGTGTCACCACTAGAAGCAGCTACGATTCTTAATATATTTTGGTTTTCTGTAAAGAGGTGGCGATTGTTTCACTAAAGAGCTAAACGCTAATAAAGAAAGTACAGTCAGTAAAGTACTAACAAAGGTAAGCCTAGGAGATAAAACACGGGGCTGCAAACAAAAAAGATAAGTTTGTTACTGGCAGACTATTTCATCTCTTCAAAACCTTTTCCTTATGCATTTTGAAAATACTACTTATACTAGATAAATTATTTTGCAACAAAACCATTAATGGTAACAACAAAACATGAAAAATTTTACTAAGTTTTAGAGTGGTAGTTTCTGTTCATTACTATGAAATGCATTTATTTTAGTACTACTGTGAATGTATTAATTTAATGGTTTGAATTGTATTTATTTTTAGAAAAAAAATCTTTAGTAAAAAGCATTCTAGAAGCATACTGCAAAATTTTCACTGTAACACATACATGCAAATACTACACTCATACACAGAATTTAAACTGAGTAAATTACCATCTGTGGGATTACCAAGATTTTACTACCATAATCTTGATGAGGGTCTGTAATTTATGTAACAACAACTGAAAACTTATTTTGTTAAGTTGAATTTTTGGTAGGAGATTTTATCAGAGCAATTTTTAGTATTGTTATATCCTTAACAAGTTAATTCAAGCAAGTGCTCAAGTCTTTATGTAGGAAAATTCAAATAAAAACTTGCACAATCTGAGAAATCTTCTAAAATATACTGTCTTAAAACCAAGTGAATATTTAACCTAAAACTGAGTCAGAACCACAGGGCATATTGGAAAATTTATCTTCCCAGTCTATCAGTGGAACAGTAACTTATTAAAAGGTATATTGCAAATTCAGGCATTGATTTGCAGAAGATTCTACATTCTAACCAACTTAGAAAGCTTTAAAATAATTTTCTAGCATGACAGGTACATTTTTAAAATGGCAATGTCAAATTTTAACAATTTAACCTCCTAGAAACTTCTCTTCATAGAAGAGTATAGGCTATTCTTGGTTTACATATTTGTGGCAGAAATCCAGAAAAGGCAAAGTATAGCATTAAAAATGCGTGTCTTCTATTTTTACCAAACTCCCACTAGCGTCCGGAAATATTACTTGTATTTTTCATTGTTTCCTTACTTAGCATATGCTGGAGCAACCCAGTATGGATTCTCCTCCGCTTCCTTTGCATGACGTAAAATAGCCTCTCGAGGGTTGCTATCATCTGTCTTATCCAGTGCAATATTCTTGACTATGTATGATGACAAGGTACCTCCATGAGTTCCAACACGCCCACCACGACCTGTGGAGAAAAAAAAAAAATAAAAAAAAAAATAGTATTTTAGAGAAAAATATTTAAGAAATAAACAAAGAAATGTTGTATTGTGTCTGTAACTGATCTGTCACAAAGAAGTTATTTAATACTACAGGAACAGTCTTAATTTAGAGCTGCATTCACATAAGCGTTTTACTGATTATATAACTTGGAGTAAGTCACTGTGATTATTAATTTATTCCAGGCAAGCACTCCAATCAAAGACCAACGTCTTACAGTGCTGGACACTGTCCATACATATATAGTACAGTCACCACCCAAAACAGTTTGAATGCAAATCTCAACAAGTGTAGAACCCAAGTATGATGGTCCCTTTGGCATATGACAGTCTGAAATGATTATGTCTAGGTTACCTGGTCCTGCTACTGGAGGTTCAGGTTTGTGAGACTTCATGGGGTCCAGCCTATCCTTCTCCAGCTGTTTCCTGGTGCTTCGCTGCCGAGGCTCACGGAACATCGGAAGCGCGTGGGCTGAAGGGTCACATTTTGGGGAAAAAGCAATGTTAGAAATTCCATATTCTTTTCAAGGTTTTAATTACAAAGACTGGGATTCTTCCTTGAAATAGAAAAGGTGGCAGAAGCAGCCTCCCAGTTCTTCTGTATCCAAGCAGTGGTTTACTGAGGTGTATTTTAGAGAGCTGCTTTCTGCTGAAAGCAGACAGATTTTCAGGGTTCCTTCAGGCAGGAGCCTTTAATCTGCAATACTGTTTGCACAGTTTATGTATATTTAATTTAATCCTCTCATTCAGTTCTCAACATTAGCACTGTGACCAACCCACTGCTCTTTTCTTAACTTTCCATGTTTCTACAGCTTTCTAATACTCTAATAGCATGACAAAACCCTAGATGCATTCTTGGATCTAAAACAGAGAGGCAGAATCCCCTCAATGATCCAAAACATAGTGTTTCTGCATGTGAAGTCACAATCATGTTCCTTCTTAAATTATGAATCAAGGTTGGAAGAATACATCTAACTGAGTCAATCTGGCTAAATTCTCATGATTAAAAAATTCTGTTTCCTCATAAACCTGTTATCTTCAGTCATAGTAATGGTTTTGGTCTGCTCAGACAAAAGACACATTTGTCAGCAACAAAGAAACACCATGTTAAGGGACATGGTTTTCTTGTGGTGAGTTTAGCTCTTACATTCAGGTATGCTGATTATTGCTGTTTCTGAAAATGTGGAGAATTGTGTTGTGGTCAAAAGACCCAACAAAGATAAAACCCAGACAACAAATCTTAAATCTGGGGGCACTGGCTCTATATTGAATAAAAAATGGAAGGCAGCATCCAGGGACCCAGCAGTTTGATTCTTCATCTTATTTCTAGAAGCCTGCTAAGTTTATTAGCCTGAGTGAAGTCCCAACCAGGTGGCACAGCAGTAGATCTTTGGAAATAAATGTTTAGGGTTTATTTTTGCATATTGCCTGGGACAGTTTGCTGGCAAGCACTAAGCTTGATCGATTTGAATAGAGCATCTGAGGGGACAAATGAACAGATCCAAGATTTTGCCATTTTTGGAGTCAAGGTTGGCTAAGAGAAACCCAAACTGGGTATTCCTGTGTTTTAAAAAGTAACATCTAATCCCTCAGAGTAACATTCCTGCATTTTAAATAGCTATTACAGCCAATACTGAGATTAAAGGGCAGCTAGAAATCCAAAGGGGAGGGGGAAGAGGGAAAAAAAAGAGGAGAAAGAGGAAAAAGGAGGCAGTTCATTTTGCAGAAGGACTTCTGAGATCTTCAGTTCTCTCCAGTTCTACCCATAAGTTTAAAAGACAGACCTCTAACCTCTGAAAAGTTTCCAAAATACGCAACAAACTTTAAACTTGCAAAGCAAATCCTTATAACGTTTTTCTGCATTCCTTGATATGGAAGTATCCTTATTTAGTTTCAAAATGAAAGAAATGTGGAAGAAACAGTTAAAGAGCTAAAACTCAGTGATTGAATTCCAAAACTTTGCATAATTGGGATCTAAATCTTTGAATGGCATTTATAATTTTTTTTTCCTAAACACATCTACACTCAACAATTAAGTTATGCAAAACTGAAGATTTAAGAAAGCTCCAGATTTTTGAGGTGTTTTTTTTTGGTTGGTTGGGGGTTTTTGTAGGTTTTGGTTTTTTTTTTTGGTGGTGGTGTTGTGCTTGGTTTTTTTTTAGGCAGTTGCCATTTCAGGATTTGAAGTGCATCAGAACCTAGAAACCAACCCCTATTAACAACCTTACAGAGCATACAGAATATATACCTTTCTAGTTGTGCAAGTCTACAAAAAAATCTGTATGAAGCACTAACATCTCACTCCAATGAACAACACTTAATGAAAGACTGCTACTTTTCAGAGGAAAAAATACAAAGCTAAATGATCTGCAAATATTTTCAGACCTGGGAAAGTGCTAAGGGTGCTGCTATAAAGATAGGTTTAAATTCCTTACGTGTTATAATGTAATCCTGTGTAAGAGTCTCTGCTTGTCTCTCTTTTCGTTTTGTTTTGACCACACATAATTTTGCTCCCCTAGGAGGAAACATACAGCAGTTCAATTGATCTGTTTATACCAAACAGAAACCATTTTTTACTCAAGACACAGTCTCAACAAAATTATATAGCACTGTAAATATTCATGAATGTATCTTTGTCTGTCCATGCACATGTGAAGTAGGGTGGAAAGATCAGTGCTTTTGTAGCATGTAACATGAGGAAATAAGGGTGGAAGATTCACACTTCATTTGTCCACAGTACTTGTAGCGCGCACATTGAAAGTGGTCCTCTCCAAACATGGGCAATTATTTACTCCTAGAACTCCTCCTAAGCAGCAGAGGTGGCAGTTACCTAACCAGAGATGCCTGTAACACTGCAGCAGAGAAGACTGCATAAACCTGGCTGCAACAAGTTTAAACTGGTGGTATTGTCTTCCTCGTGATAAGTACCAGGAAAGAAACTGGGCACAAGACTGAGCTAGTGCTCTTGTGGTCTGTGCCTAGGAGACACAGGCTACCCTCTGGAGATGGGTCCAAACAATGAAGACCAACTCTCTTCTTCTTTATATTCACAGACCAGAAAAATTACATTTATTTCTGGTGATCTTGCAGACCAGAGTTTATCTTCACATCCAAGTGTCTAGGTCACAGTAAGTATCCGGAAACTGTGAACTGTAACACAGTATGTTTTTCTGGATGTCAGTGAAACAAATACAAGTGTATATAGGGGAAGAACATCTTATTCATACTACTCATTGTAGATGAAGTGTACATTTCCTCCCTGCTGACAGGAAGGAAGCATGTCCCAGTTCTCCAGCCAGTCCAGACACTAAAAGCAAATTAACTGCAAAGGAAGTATTTATAGACAAGTTAAGTCTTTTTCTTTTCATTCCAGGTTAACAAAGTCACCTTTTGATTCACTACCATCTTTTCATTAGATGTAGAGGCAAAATTCACATGTGATAGGTAGGGGGTGGGGGAGAAAGCCAGCAGTAGAAAGACGGAAATGTGCTTCCTTGGTTTGCACCCTCTCAAACTGGGTCTTCAGGTATTACTTCACAGACACTGAAGTTTAAGTTAATGCTTCTAAACAAGATTTTTACTTCATTAAAAAAAAAGGACATCAGACAATGTAACTAAATACAAGAAATATCCTTCCAATAAGACCACATCAGCAACCTCCAGGAGATCAGATGAAAGGCAGATTTCATGCAATTAAAAATGAAAGTGTGTGTAAATTCAGGTAGAACAGCCAGCATACTGCACCATGAAAAGCCCAGAGGAAAATGAGCCACTTTTCAGAATCAAACTAGTTTGTTTGTATTTTTTTTCTTTCTACTGTTACTAAATAAGTAAAAATCTGCAAAACAAATGTTACTAAATCAGGCTTTCTCATTTCTTAGTATAATGACAGAATCACAGAATCAGGCTAAAGTTGAGGAAAAAAAAAAAGTGTTCTTAATCATTAGTCACAATTACATACCTCTGGCTTTTGACAGGATCATAGTACACTTTGGCCAAACCATTTCCTGTACCAACCATGATCTGATTCAGCTTGGGATGCCAAAGGCAACGCACAACACTCTGGAATAAAGCAACATATTGATAGGTAGTTGGTAATTTATCTAGGCCTTAGAATTAATATACATATTGTCAAATAGTGGACCCAAGTTACAAGCTTAAGCACGTAAATGAGTATGTGAATAATGAATAAAAGTTCCTCTCCAGAACACAACACAGTGTAAAAGAAGTGATAATACATGGAAGCAGGCAAAGAAGGAAGTACAGGTTGGTGGCAGTGTGATAACCAGTGGTTTTCACAGGCTAACCGCTCCAGGTCTTTGTTGGCATAATGGAAACGGAAAGTTAAAGGGGGATTTGATCCAGAACAATGAAGTGCTTCACATACAGCAACGCAGGCCTTCATGACTTTTGCATTCTTAATTTTTAATTCTTTCACCCTGTTCTTTATCTGTTTTTCCCTTCTCACACAGTGCTGACCTTTCACTGACTGACTGCAAAACCAGAGTGTAGCTGATTTTCACTCTTGGTTCTTTCTTTCCTAGAACACCCAGAACCACTTGGTATTTGAAGCCAATGTCTCACAGTTCTATCATCCTTCTGGTCAGCAGAGAAACTAACTTTCAGACATTAAGAGTATTGTTTTATACACAGTGTAGCTCTCCCTGTGACTTTGAATCTCCACGTGATTACTGTATTCAGTCTGATTCAGCAGGCCAGCACAGAAGCTCTGTAAGACTCGAGCTTCTGACTCCAGAGAGCCAAAGTGGGCACATTCTGCTGAAGGACAACACATCTTAACACACAAAACCTGCACATGCATCTGACTAACTGGGAGAAAAAACATCTATTTTGGAGAGATAGTAAATCTTTAAAGGGATAAAACTGAAGACAGGTCTCAACAGTGTTTGTATTGCCTGTGTAATAAATGTATCCAGAGCTAGCAGGATGCATCATCCTGTCAGTATTTCACTGAACAATGTTCATTTTACTAGCCCTTTTTTTTTTCCCTAAGCTTACTACTTTTCCTTTCAAAAAAGCCAGGAATAGATTCTTCTCAAAGTGAATTAATAATTCAATATTCAACCACTTTGATCCATTTATTATTAAAGTATCTATATATGTATTTTTTTTTAATTTACATAGTACAGCACATGGAATTCACAAAATGGAAACCACTAATGTATTAACAAGAGAAATACAGCAAAGCTAAAATATAGTTAGCAGTGTAATACAGCCCTATAACTTGGGAGATGACAACCATCTATTCTGGAAAGGAATGGTTATGTATCAGCTCTAGTGACTCCTGAATCACTTCCCATTTCATGTTCCATACTGTTTCTGGTTTGGTCCAGATCCAATTATTTTGAATGTTATGAGTCCCATAAGAAAAAATACTGAAAAATTCTGAAGCCCATTCAGCCATCATGAATCAGCAATTCATTTTACTGCAAGATGACGGATGGTTCTTCTGAGCTGTTTTTCTGCTGTGCTCTTGTTTAGGAAGAAAAATTGAGTGAGATGAGTTACATGAATCAACTCACCATTCTTTACAAGGTTCCTCTGTAAAACATCCTCCTTCTACATAAATATGCATACAACATTATACCTTCACATTCGCTTACAGGTACAAAGAAACCTGGCTTGTTTATTATGAGACAATTCAAGGAGAACTATCTTTTTACAGGTAACTCTGAAGTACAAAGTAGAATTCTGATAATGCATTATGCCCATGATCCCTGCCCCTAGCAACCAAAATAACCAATACAGTGTTGCTAATAAGTTGTTTGATTTAAATAAGAGATTCTTACATACTGTTATGTAATGCTCCAAATGCTACAGTAACTCTTAAAACACACAAAGTTAGTAATAAGTATGGAAGGTTAAAGGTGGGTGGCCTTTTATTAATATTTATTGCATGTGTTTAGCCAGCCTTTTTAAACTTTGTAGTTAATGTGGTTCTCCACTTTCTACTGTCAAGGAAATGTATTTTATAGCATGGTACTGGATACCAGCCAACAAAAACAAAGCCTGAGACAGTGTGGCTCAACACTGATGGGAATTGCTAAGTTTCTAACTTGTCAAACATGCAGAGCACACTTAAAACCACAATGGCACGTGTTCCAGAGGAGGCAAAAGAAACTGCCATTAAATGAAGCCCTATAAATCTTCTGAAACTGTAAAACGTCCCCAGAAGATAATTTTTAAAAAACTAAACAAATACAAGTTCTGAACATGTAAGTAATTTTATTAATCTACTGGCATATAAATCTACTTTATAAGAAATAATAACAACTACTGATGCAGATTTTCAGATTATTTTACAAATAGACAATACTTTAAAAGACCAAATTACTGAACTAAATCCTAATAATTTCTCCCAATCACACAATCTGAAATAAGTAAATATTCTAAGCATCTATACAACAAAGGGATCATCGTAGACTAGGTCTTAACATTGGGAGTGAGGGAGAAAATCTTTATCATACAAAAATAATTCTTAAAGAGCATTTATCCTTCAATGCCTCCAAGCTTCCTATAATTTACACTTCGAATAACTCAGGTAGACATCTTTATCACTGGAAATGCTAAAATTTCAGCTCAAATTTCAGCTCAAAGAAGGTCCTACCTTCCAGCTCCCCAAACAAGTAAGTGCATTAATAGGAGGAAAAGGAGTGTTTTCCTGGCTTGGCCTACCTGTGCACAGAGGTAGAAACCCACCTTCTGATACTGAATTCTACACAATTATAGAATGGTTTCAGTTGGAAGACAGCTCTGGAGATCACCTAATTCAAGTCCCTTGCTCCAAGGATGGTCAACTACTACAGATAGCTCAAAACATTGTCCAGTTCGGTTTTGAATACTTCCAAGGACAGAGACTCGACAGCCATTCTGGGCGACCTGTCGCAATGTATGACCACCCCCACCATAAAAAACCCCAAAACAAAACAACCCCCACACCACTTTCTTACATTTAAGTAGAATTTCCTTTAATTTGTTTTGTGCCTATTGCCTTCTGTCCCCTTTCAAGTATTTATACATAAGACCCCCCATGAGCCTCCTCTTCTCCAGGCTGTGTGATCCTAGCTCTCTCAGCATTTCCTTCTGTGCCAGATACTCCAAGCCTTTCACCACTTTCGCAGTCCTTCACTGGACTCACTCTAATAAATTTATCTCTCTCTTGTGCTGGGAGCTCAGAACTGGAACTGGCACTACAAATGTGTCTCACCAGCTGTAGAGGGGAATCATGGCCTCCTTCGACCTGCTGGTAACACTCCTTTGCCTGATGCAAACGCCCACAGGCTTCTTGCTGCCACTTTCTGTTTCTCTGAGATGGAAAGGAGATTTGCCATTCCACAATCTCTTTATAAGAATAACTTGTTTCATTTTAAGGTTGCGCTCCGCAATGGAACACAACACAAACAAGGTGGTACTTTAGTTGCACTGTCCCTGAGACAGGAGATCAGGCTGGAACCAATAAACTCAGCAGTTAAGAGCAAACTGCAAGCTCTCAATCCCACCTATAAAGGTGTTTTCATGCTTAGTAAAAGAGCAGGGAAATAGATTGCCTAACATTGCTTAGAGCAGAGAATTAGATTGCTTTATGGAAATCTAGCAGAAAACACTTCACTAATCGTAAGTTTGGTTGTAAGGAAATCCTGTGGATGACAGCTCCAAGGTTCAGAAAATACAAACACCAGACCACCACCAACAAAGTTAACTAATTCTAAATTCAAGAATTCAACACAGAAAGACTTAACCTGTTTCTTATATTTAAAGTTGAAACAAGACAAATCAATATAGATTCTGAGATCCAAAAAATTCCAGGTCATATCTCAGCTTTGCAAACAGAAAAAAATTTCTTATTATAATAAATAGGAATGATAAAATGCAGAATGTATCATCACAAAAACACCTTCAATATTAGAAAGAAAATTTCTGTAATGGCTGGTGCTTTGAACAGTATATCTTTGTAGAATGAAGACCTGGAAGACGGTCATAAAAATCCTGAAAATAATTTTTCCATGGAACTGATGTGGCCAGCTTTGTGACAGCAAGATCTGAAAATTCAGCACTCACAAAAAGACAATTACTAGTAACGATTTAAAAGCTGTTTGATACTTTTGCTGTTGTAAAAGCATTAAGTTCTTCAAATGAAATCAATCTGAAAAGTCTCTGGCAATGTCTGCTGCATATACACAGTAGTCTGCATTGCGAAATACTAGGAAAAGATTGTGAAAATATTTTTGTGAGGTCAGGCAGGGAAAATATTAAAAATTTTAACAGAAACACTCCAAAAGTAGCTTCTTCATTGTCACTATGAAAGAGGTTAGAATAGATTCAGTGGGTATTATTGATAGTAGGCCTTTCTAATTACTTACAGTTAAGATTGTCTTGTAATATTGACCTGAACTGAAAGTCAATTATCTACACAATTTTAAAGACTTTTTTTCCAACATAGATGAAAATGTTTATCATCTTAAACAACTGCCTGATAGTAATATGTTATAGTAGGAACTTATAGTTCCTTATAGTAGGAACATATTACTGATCTTGAAACTATCCATGCCTTTTTTTGAAGTTGCTATAATATTTTTTTAAATTGAAAATATGAATTACCCAAACATTAGATAATTTTTACTTTAAGCTAAGCACCATACTCACTTTAGACTTGCAGTTCTTTTAAAATAGTATATCCAGTTTTAGAAAGTTTTGCCTGTAATAACTTAAAAGCTTAATAATATGTAGTAATCTTAAACCATAAAACTCATAAATACGTAGAAAGGTGGCAGGCAAAAGCGATGATGTAACTATTCCCTAGTATGCTATTCCACCTGCATTTCTCCCGAAACACATGCAGTTCCAGCTGATGGCCAGTTCTGGGGTGGTTCATAAGTAGCCTGACCCCTAACAGTCTGTTCTTACCTCTGTGTTTCCGTTTGTATCATATAAGTAGAGCTGTTGCAGCAGGTAAACAGTAAACTACACCAGATATGTTTTCTGTTAGGTTATTCTCCATCTGGACTAGATCACTAGGTAACTACACGCATGGCTCTGCTGGT